TGCAAGCCTTCAGATGATCTTTAAAAGCTTGGTTTTTCCCCAAGCTCAGGTATAGGTTGATGGCATGCTCATTTAATGTATATTGTTTGTCTTGGTTGTGGTATGTGTCTCCCTGTTATGTGAGGTTTCTTTTTCATTTGTCTGCTTTTTTAAGCATTGTATTGGCTTTTAACTGTATGCCACCCAGAATTGGTTTTGAGTTGGAGCAGCCGTATACATCAGAATAATAAATAAATCTGGAGCTTCAGTGACCATGTGGAAAGTGTGTTTTTTCTCTTTACTTTGGAATTTTATTGTATGTCTATGACTTACAGAATCTTTGCAATAGAGGATAGCCATGAGTTATTCCAAATTGGAAATTTTAATTAAAAACTTTGCATTTGAAAAGCAAATCAGGATTATAGTTTTTGGCTGTGTTATAGAAATGCTATCTGTGTAATAAATTCTGTGTGGGATGAGTTTGTGAAGTAGAGGTTGGAATCTCGCTGTCTTCTATTGTCACATAAAAAGAACAAGGAAAATGAGAAGTTAGTTTAATTAATTTCAAACATTTCTGTTACTCCTTTCCTTTTTAATGCTCCCTTTATCTAAGCACTGCCTTCAGCTTATATAAACAATTTTCACCTTTTATCAGTTACTATAATCTTGTACCTCCACCACAGTTCAACTGCAAGCCTTCATTTCTTACCCCAAACCCGCCCAATCATATTTCACCTTCCTGCTGTCCTTAATAATCTGTTATATTCTTTTCTTAGAAATAGCTACTGACAGACCAATAGCTTAGTGGTAGAATATCTGCTTTTCTTGCAGAATGTTCCAGTTCCAGTTCTTTGCATCTTCAGCTAGGATGGAAAAGCTTCAATCTGAAACTATAGAGAGTTATTACTAGTAAGTGTACACAATATTAAGCTAGATAGGCCAGTGGTGTGAGTATAAGGCATCTTCCTGTGTTTCTACCATGAATTATCTAATTTTCCTTCAAAATCATAAAAGCATACATGTCCTGGAATTATCTGTTATTTAAAGCCATTTCTAGTTAGTAGATATCCCCCATCTCCTTTAGTATTCTAAGGTTATTAACAATTTATTTACATAGATAAAACATTCTATATTTGAATTTTGTCCCAATTCTCTTCCCAAGAATTTTACTAGTGGAGAAAAAAAGAAGCAAAAGCAAGCAAATTTTATGTGGATGAAACAGAAGTGGTGCTTATCATTACATGCCAGTTTTTCCCTGGATGTAGAAGACAGTAGGGGTAGGTTGGAAGCCTTTCTTTGTGAATCTATGATTAACATAGTAATTGTTGTAGCTGTAATGCTCAACTTCTGATGGCAAAAAAAAAATGTCTGGAAGATTGCTTCTTTTTTAGAATGCCCTGCCTTTCTCTAAGTGGCCTGTGCCCCTCCTGAGGACCACATTTTGAAAACCACTGACTTAATTAGGTTAGCTACAGATTTCATTTTTCATGGAAAATTACTGTGTATAGCAGTATAAACATTTAATTTTGTTTTGAAACATAGGAGCTTTTAATCATAATCCACAAGTTAATTATAATTCTAAAGGAACTTCTGATGATACACAAGTCAAAAGTGTACAAGCAGAAGTTCATCTTCTCTGAAGCAGAAGGAAAGTGGCTTCAGAGAAATACAAACTCATGATAACTACTAGTCTATTGGAAGGTGCCTGAGTAGGAACCAATCTTTTGACAAGATCTTAAGTAACATAAAATGATTTAAAAGAGAAAAATGATCAAAATCTAAAATACCTGTATAATAGAAAAGATGTATAGCATACCCCGCCCCCCCAAAAAAGGAGAGGAATGAAGAGGCCACTGGATCAATGGATTTCATATATACCTTGAGTTTATAGTCACTTTGTTCACGTGCAATATTAAGCCATAACATGGTTTGTTTCATTTTAAGTTAATACTAAGAGACCCATTAAGTCTTAGTATTACATGCAAACCAGACTTCTATGGCTTGTTTAGAAATCATTGTTTAAAAAATCCTTGTTTAGCATTATTTGTGAATTCAGTCATTGGCAACCTCAGGTAACTTTGTCATAGGCTGTTTGGGTCTGATCTGGCAGGTTCCAAGTCAGATTTTGACAAGCAAACAAAATGTACAATGAACCTTTAGAATATTGAACAAAGTGCTTGTCATAGTCCAGACTTTTGTCCTTGTCCCCAATGTTTTTCATTTCATGGTGCCCCTAATGTCACAAAGATATGACATCACTAATGGCTGTCACAAAACCCAGCTTCACAAATAGATATTGCAAAAATTTAAAATATCCCATGGTGTTCCTGTGAGTTTGCTGCAGTACCATGGTACCATGGCAAACAGTTTGGATAATGTGGTCATAGTCTATGTGTGGTATAGCAGACATTATCTAGATATTTTTTTAAAAAGAGCTTTCTACTATTATTAATACTGCTGCATCTCTGTATTCAGGTTTTGCAAAACTAGTGAATGCAGCAAAAGAATAAGTCACTGTAAAAATGTTTCAGAGGGCTTTTTAAAAAATTATTCCCATTGATTCTTTAGGCAGATAAGATTTAAATGGCTGCTGACATATTAAAAATCAGTATAGAAATACATAACACTATTGAGCAAACTTGAAATATAAAATGAGTAGTTATAGCTGTGTTGATCTATGGGGGGTGAATCCAAAATACATAATGGTATGTGTTAACTGTAACAGGAGATAAATAATTGTGTTTTCAAAGTTGGAAGGAACATTTTCTTTGCCCCTAAATGCCAAGGTAAGATTATGAGTTTAGTCTATAGCTTCATCTTTGGACTGACTTTGAACTTCACAGCTGAAATATCTAGACTAATTTTTTGGATTTCTTTGTCCCCAGTCCATTTTTTTCTGGTAAATTTTAGTCTGATAAATAATTCCTAAGAAGTTTCAACTTTCTTACTTATATATGACATTTGGGTTGATCCTAATAATAAATCAAATTATGGATTTTGAAAATTATCCAAACTGGTTGTATGTATATATGTATGTATGTATGTAAAATTTAGCAAAAACAAATGCTTTTTTTTTTATTCAGCTATTTAAATGAAAGAAAACAAGTCTTATATGGTGATGATTGATTAGTTATGTACCATCAAGTCGATGTCAACTCTTAGCAAGCACATAGATAGATTTTCTCCATGACAATCACTCCCTAACCTGATCTTTCAGGTTACCATACAATCTGTCAATCAATCTTATTAAATTATGCTAATACACCATACCATATAATATATGATAATATCAGTATAATATATATTATATAGTATGGTATATTAGTATAATATAATAAGATTGATTGATTGATTGATTGATTGATTGTGTGCTATCAAAATGGTATTGATTCTTAGCGACCACATAGATAGATTTTCTCCATGATAATCAGATCCTGACCTGGTCCTTCAGGTCTTCCAGCGGTGTACCCACTGCCACTATAACTGAGTCCTTCCACTTTGCTGCTGGTTGTCCTCTTCTTCTCTTTCCTTCCACCTTTCCCAATACTGTATTAGAACCTTCTCCAGAGAGCTAGGTCTTCACATAACGTGAAGTAGGATAATTTGAGCTTAGTCATTTATGTCTTGAATGAGAACTCTGGGTTGATTTGTTTGATGATCCATTTGTTTGTTTTCTTGGCTGTCCATGGTATTCTCTGGAGTCTTCTCCACAATACTCAAAAGTGTCAACACTCTTTTTACCCTACTTCTTTGAATTCTAACTTTTGCTTCCATAGAGTGTCACAGTTAAATACCATTGCTTGCACTGTTCTGATCTTTGTAGGTATAGACACATCACAGCATCTGAATATCTTTTCCAAGGCTTTCTTAGCTACTCTATCAAGCTATTCTAATAATATAATAATATAATATGACCTAAAAAAGGTCTACTGTATCATTCTTATTGGATCATACTTTTTTCTTAAATTAATTAAGGGAATTAATCAGAGGGATCACTTTTAAACATGGGGAACTGCTTTATCCAAAATCAAATAATTGATTCATCAGAGCAGCAACTTGTTAAGATCTTAGAGAACTTTTCCACTCTTCCTGGTTGGAGATAGCAGAGAACGAAGCTGAGATGTTATGACAACATACTCTGCACAGTTTAATGATTGGATTATGACTAGCAAAATGTACAACAAATCAACCCTCAGCCATGGAAGCTTATTGCATGCCCTGGAATACTCACTTTCAGACCAGTCTACCTCACAGGACTATTGGTGTAGGGAAAAATTTGAGAAGGGAGTGCTATTTATTTAATCTTGAACTGCAGGAAGAAATACAGTATATAAATCTAATAAATAATCATATCTGAGCTATATGACTTTTCCAAAGGAATAGTTTATTCTCTAGGATGTTAATTACATTGAAAAGATTTGTGGTTCCATAATTGTGCATAACTGCTCTGTTACTCCCTTTATCATTTTTTAAAAATAAGTTATGGCTCTCAGAACAACTGGAAAACTATGCCAGATTTTCAAAGGTCACTTAGACCAGTACTGGGTAACAGTTACTTCCTCCATTTTAAAATGATCAGGACATCATATTGGCATAAACTGTAGTGGCAAAATATTATACAAATGCAGCTCATGCAGTCCTGTAAAAATCATTCCTTGTTGTCCAGTTAGCAAGGTGCTTTTTTTTTTTTTTAAACAACTGATTTGACTTTCGAGAATAGCATTTTCTACATAAGAATATCATGACATGCCTGCTAGCAGTAATTTGACATCTGCCAAGTTCATGGCAATGACATGTAATTTATGTCAACTGTATGCACCTAAAATATATAGAGTAATTCTTGCTAACAGTATATTTCTATTATGACTCCTGGTGTCAAGCAAGTTATTTCTAGACAGTTTTAAATGGACCAGAGTTACAGATTGCCAACCTCTTCAACCAGGCCTTAGAATCTTTCACATGGTCAAGTTTATGACTGCTACAAACTCCATTTTGTTTTCTCTTTCTGTATATGTTTTTAGGATGCAAATGAAGACCCTGGGGAAGATGTTGCTCTTCTTTCAGTCAGTTTTGAGGATACAGAAGCTACTCAGGTTTTCCCCAGATTGTATCTCTCTCCTCGAATTGAACAGTGAGTTTTATATATCTCATATGTAGTAATTTTGGTTTTACAGTATTTTATATTTCTTATTGTTTATGTAAGAAGTTTTGGACAGTATAAAACCTCTCTTTTTATTTATTTATTTTGAATTTTGAATTACAAAAAGAAGAAAAATATATAAAAGTGATTTAACAAAAAAGTGTAAAAAATACAACAGAGGAAAAAATGTTAATGTATCATAACAGTAAACAATTTCAATTCTATATATACTTATCTAATACAAATATTATTCAAGTACGTATATATTTCTAATAGATTTATACGACTATCATGTTTTTTTAACCTATTGTATTTTGTATAAATGAGTCCCACATTGCATTATACTTGCCCATACAAGGTCTACATCTATAGGCAATCCGCTCCTCCGTCCTGGCAATGTCTGCATTAGGCTTCGATATTGCTTTCTATATGCAGTGTTCTGTTCTCTGTGGTATTCTGTTGTCGAAACATGGGTTTCCTTTGTAGCTGGTAAGGTTTTTTGCTCAGAGATAATTGCACAAGTCTTTGGTTATTGTCCACTGTTTTATGTACACAGCCACTTTTTCTTATTGATCCCTTCATTAATTTCCCCTTAAGATCATGTAGTTAAAAAAATAATGCTGTGACACTTATACTATGTGATGTGCATTTCCTGGTTGGAGCCCAGTATGAGGATTGGGATTTGTCTCTGTTCATGCATAATGGAAATAATCAGTGTAATAAGCATACTTTTTGTAATAGCCCTGATGAAAAAGATTCCAAATAATTGGTTGTTTTCTCATTTCTTTTTTTCTGTAAGTACTTTTGCCATTGCATCATGTGGCCAGGTGACAATACCTGTATGTGATAGAAATGTACATGCTAGGGCAGAATAGCTTGAGATATGCTTCTGGGAGTGCAACACAGTCAGATGGAAGTGCAACTAATATGGCTTAGGTTTAACTATATTCTTATGCGGATCAGCTTATAAAATAAGCTATATTTATACTAGAATGAAATCTTATAAATTGAATTCCCCTTTCAACCTGCAATATTCTTATTAAATTCTACTAAACCATATATCTCCTCAAAGTATGCTGAATTAGCTTTGTGCATGATAACTGCTGTAAGGATATTATATGCTTTTTACTGGAAAGGTTGTTTGATCCCCTCCATGGAAGAATGGCTCACTAAGTTATGGGTTATGCTTTGAAGTCTAAAATAACTTTGTTCCTTAAAAGTAAGTCTGATGCAGAATTCAAACTGGAAACCATTCCTAGACTACAATTTAAAACAGGGATTTGTACCAAATCCAATATTTAGGTTTCTCTACATATAGAGTTTGTATTTTAATGTTACAGGATATTTAAAACAGAACAGGTTTTTAGTAATGTGGATTGAAATCATCATGGTCTACGGTTTTACTCAGTGATTTATACTGTGTTTACCACAGTTCTCAATATTTGTTCTGAGTTTAAAGTTTAACCATGATTTTTAGTCTGTTAAAACAATATAATACATTTAGTTATTCACAAGTAATTAATGTTTTACTGGAAAATTATAACCTCCCTGACATCTCTAAATCCCTAATTTAGTCATTTCTGTTTTACTTTTTGTTCTTTCTTCTTATTTTCTTTTTAACTTTGTTTATATATCTTCTTGAATGTTTAATAAAAATAAAAAAAAAATAACTTGCTGTATTTACATGTTGAATAGCATTCCCCCTGAAATTCTTTTATTAGAATAAAAAGATGCTTTTTCAGATTTTGCAGTATAAGAACATTTGCTGAATTAAAGTCAGGAAACTGCATTTTACCAAACCTATTAGTCTTTGCTATAAGACAAGAAGACTTCTTGTTTTGTTTTAATAAGGTATTTGCCCAATTTTATGTCACAGTATATATCTTAAAGTTATTGTACAGTTAATATATAGTTAATAATTTCAATTTGCTCTTAAAATGGTAGTGCTAGGAGGAAAAAGTAACTGCCTTTGTTAGATTTCCTTTTTTTCCATTTTTGGAACTCATATTTGTTCGTTTTCCAATCTCTCCTTTTCTGCCTCACTCTTGAAATCTCTGCTTTAGAGTTCCAGGCTTACATGTACTTTATCTTAGAGATAAGTATTAATGGAAAAGACTTCCAAAAAAAGAGTTTCAAGTTGTGAACCTGGAAGAAATGCTTGCAGGTCTCTGAACTTTCTTGTATCCTTAAATGGATAAGATATTAAGGTGGGGATTTGCTTGCTCAATTATCTCATCTAAAAAATGCAGAATAATGGAAAATGTTAAAACTTGCTTCAGGAAACTGATAATAAACAAGTCGAAGTAACTTTCTTTAAATTAGATCTTTAATGTGTATGCAACAGCCTTTACCCTCTCCCCACCCACAATGGGTGATTTGGGCTTAAATCCACCCTTAACCATGGAAACTCTTTGGTGGCTTCAAATTCTCTCAGTTCAACCCACCTCACAGGACAGTTATGGGGATAAAAGGAGGGAAGACATCTGTTAATTGTACCCTAAGCTTCTAGAAGAAAGGCAGAATATAAATCTAACACATAAGAATTAAAAAAGGTTAAACTCAGATGACACTGCTTATTGTGTCATCCACTCTTGGGACAAATCTTTTCTTGTTTTTCATGCTGCAGCATTGGAATATAGATAACTAAAGA